CCTCGTTGCAGGACAGTTTTCCATTGTGCAGCTGCCTCACTTGAAACATAAATGAATTGTTCAATAGAGAAAATAAAAAATGAGCTTTAGCAACTTCTTGGCACCAACTTTCTTGATCCTCAGAAGGGTTTCTCTGGTGAATCTTCTTAAAGGAAGAGAGATAAAAAGGAATCCTAGGCATTTCTGGCATCTTGTGAGACAACTGGAATGCCTATGAGATGCTCCTTATTTCAAGAATAATATCCAGAAAGGAGACTGTATTCTGTGCAGCTTGACCAACCTGGCTTGACAGTACATCACACAGTGCCTTTGACAGCACCAAGGATTGGAAAATGGAATTGCAACTATCAGGCATCAAGTTATGTTTTAACATTTAGTTATAAAGGCCATGTCATGCCCTCCGAGATACAGCAGGAGTATTAGGCCTGACATTTTGAATTTCAAATGCAAATTGGGAAATCCAACCCAAACTAGGAAAGTCAATGTGTGTAAATGGAGTGAATTCAGTATCCAGGAGTGGCTCCTGGGTGAGGCTAGTCAAGTCTCCCAAAGGCTCTTATTTTACTCTGTCAGCCACACAACTGAAGAAAAATTTCAATTAATATATCTGGATAGTATCTGAAAAGTATCACCTGAACATCTTATTTGTTAAAGGGATTATTGGTAAGTTGTATCTAAATGATACAAGTAAATTATGCCATGCTAATCTAACTTGTTCCACAAATAAATTATTGCACAGATTTTTTTCTTTTTTTGAACTACGTATTCAAAATCTCCCAATAATGGTACCCATAGTAATAGGTTTGTATTTTCCAAAGCTCTTAGGTTAACCTGCTACCACTATTTTTCAGAGTAGTTAAGTGACTTGCCCATTTTGAGAAAGTAATAGAATTGGGTCTAGCACCTGTCTGTCTGATTTCCATTTCACTGCTTTAGCTCCCACTTCAGCACCCTGTAAGACTGCATGCCACATACAAAATAGTTATGATGAGAAATGGAGAAAGCACAAAGTTTAGTTGAAACAAGTCCATTCTTTTTTGTTTAATAAGCACAGGTGTGTGCGTAGGAGGTAAGCATTGGCCAGTAAATGCATGGCTTTCAGGTGCACCATAGGCCCTGGTAACTTACTGTGTTCTCAGTGTCCTTTTTAAAACACAAATTTGATAAAGTTTGTTTCCTTACACCTTTAGGGGCTCCCCATTGCCTAGGATAAAGTCCAACTTCCATTGCACAGCTTACAACTGCTGGACCCCTTCCCGCCCTTCTTGCAGTTCCTTGAATGTTCCATGCTCTCTTTATATCTGGGTCTGCAAATTTGCTGGCCCTTCTATTTAGAAAATGTTCCTTCTCTTTTGCCCTTTGCCTGGCTAATTCTTGTTTGTCTGGTTTCAGCTGTTGTCACGTCCTCCAAGAAACATTTTTTGTGTCCCAGATCTAAATTAGATTCACCTCCTATGTTCTGAGGCACCCAGTACTTGTCTTATCATAGGCATTATAATAGGCACGGAAACTGCCTATTTGTTGGTCTTTATTATCCATTATTCCCTATGCACCGTGTGTGTAAGATCTGTATCTATCTTGTTCTTCATTTTATTTCTGGCATTAACACCCTGTCTAGTGGAGAGCAGACTCTCTATATATTGGAAGAATTAATGAATAAAAAACTATCTGACACTTTGAGAAAGGCCTTCGATGGGCAAAGACCTTCACAAGGACAAATGTCACACTGATTTATTATCTATTATGTACCAGCCATTTTCTATATGTTATCTCTCATTTAGAGCTATTTTTATGGAAAAAAATAAAAAATAACAACAAAGACCTCGTAATAGATTGTTTTATTGGCTAATATTCAGTGCCCTTCCCTGATGGTACACATCCTTGCCCTGTTGAACTCTGGTATAGGCATGTGAAATGGGAGAAGTGACAAGTGTGACTTCTGTGCAGTAGCTTCGCCAAGTGGTTCATGGTGGCTTGCCTTGTAATTGATTGCTGATATGTTTCAAAAAGAAATGTCCCTCTGAAAAACAAACTGAGGGTTCTAGAGGGGAGGGGGGTGGGAGGATGGGTTAGCCTGGTGGTGGGTATTGAGGAGGGCACATTCTGCATGGAGCACTGGGTGTTATGCACAAACAATGAATCATGGAACACTTCATCTAGAACTAATGATGTAATGTATGGGGATTAACATAAGAATAAAAAAAAAAGAAAAAAAAAAAAGAAATGTCCCTTAACTAAAGCCTCAGATACTGTGGACTAGAGCCCCAGCTAACTTGAACTGAGAAATAGAAATGTTTGTTATTGTAAACCATGAGTAACATGTGTGAGAAGTAGAAATATTTGTTATTGTAAACCACCATGATTTGTGTGTGTATTACAACCGCAAACCACAGTATATCTTGATTGATGGAGATCTTTTCAACCCAGTTCAAATGAGGGGGAACTTAGGGAAAGGATTCAACAGGGAATCTTAGGCACATTATAGATTAGATACAAGAACACTTAGGTTTCACTGGAACAGGAAACTGAAAGTCAGAAACTGGTGCTATTTTATTCATATTTTAGAGCTGCATGGACTCACATTTCTGCTTCTCTGCTTACCTGCTACTTTTTCTTCCTCCTTCAGTAAACTTTACATACATACTAATCACAAATTTGACCCAAATGAAGATGATCTCCAGCTCTTGTCTTTATATGATTTCCCATGTCAGAACCCACTACTAACTGCTGCCTCTCTCTGAGTCTCTTGGTTTATATTCTTGAGGGACATAATTATGGTTTTAGTGCATCTTTTTGAACAGATTACAAGCCAGATGTCACTGACTAGTCAGTGTTAACTGGTTACTAGTCTAATGCTTGCTCAGTCAGTTGTGCCTGTGTGTGAGTGTGTCGGGGAGGGTGGTGGTAGGTCAGTAACAAGCCATGTGGTGTGAAACATGGCTGTTTGGGACAGCAAATACTACATGTAGGATTCAGTGTCTTAAAAAATCTACATAGAGAAGAAGTACCTTAATATATATTAATGTTGTATAGCTATGTTGGTTCTATGAGGATAGTATTATTAATATTATCATAATCACAAATTTCAGATTATAAAGCTAAAAGCAATAAGATAACTCGGGTAAAATTGCATACTAATATGTGAAGGGCAGAGTAGATTTATAATTTAAACCTTGGTATAGTTTAGCTGACCCCAAATTTCATGCTCTGCAATGTAATAAATCATCTCAAAGATTTGAACTCTCCCTATCAGTGAAACAAGTATGAATAACTTTACAGAAAAAATGGAATAAAATAAAAATTATGTAAAGGTATAACAGATGGGGTTATTTTAGAGGAGAACAGTATAACTGGTGTATACTGAAGGTTAGAAAGTGTTTCAGAGCCCCCAAAAGGTTTTCTTTCCAAACACAGTTTTCCAATATTTTATTGTGAAAAAAAAATTTCAGTGTATAGAACGTCAGAGTTAAAAGCCATATATCCACCTCCTAAAATTTATATTTGTTATATTCTTGCTTTGTCACATATCTATGTACCCATCCATTAATCCCTCTTTCTAAGTCAGTTGCTTGGCCCCTTATCTTTTTAATATATATATATATATATATATATATTTATTTATTTATTTTTATTTTTAATTGAAGTGTAATTGACATATAATATGTTAGTTTCAGGTGTACAACATACTGTGATTCCATGATTGTATACATTACCAACTGCTCACTACGGTAAGCATAGCCACCATCTATCATCATACAACATTATTACAATAGTATTGACTATATTCCTTGTGCTGTACTTTTCATCTTTGTGACTTATTTATTTTGTGACTGCAAGTTTGTACCTCTTAATCCCCTTCACCTATTTTTCCTACCCCCACAGCCCCCTCCTCTCTGGCCACTGCTAGTTTGTTCTCCATATTTATGAGTCTACTTCTCTTTTTGTTGTTGTTATTGTTGTTTGTTTTAGCTTCCACATATAAGTGAAGTCATATGGTATCTGTCCCTGTCTGACTTATTTCACTTAACATAATTCCCTCTAGGTCCATCCATATTGTCACAAATGCAAGATTTCATTCTTTTTTATGGCTGGGTAATATTCCATTGTGTACATGTACCACAAGACCCTTTTTCTTCAAAGACTGAATGAGTTTGGTGGGGTCTTGCAAAAATATTTTCTTAAAAGCACTCTAAGTCCTTGTTACTCAGGGTATGTCCCATGACCACCCGCAGTATTGGCATCACTTGAGACTTTGTCAGAAATGCAGAATCTTGGGGCGCCTGGGTGGCTCAGTTGGCTAAGCGACTGCCTTCGGCTCAGGTCGTGATCCTGGAGTCCCTGGATCAAGTCCCGCATCGGGTTCCCTGCTCGGCGGGGAGTTTGCTTCTCCCTCTGACCCTCCCCCCTCTCATGTGCTCTCTCTCTCTCATTCTTTCTGTCTCAAATGAATAAATAAAATCTTTAAAAAAAAAAAAAAGAAATGCAGAATCTTGGGCCCTACTCTAGATCTAATAAATCATAACCTGCATTTTATTCAGATTCCCCAGGTGATTTGTGTGTGCAGTAAGTATTGAGAAAGACCAATATGGATGATTCCAACAAACACTGAGGGTTGAGAAATACTACATTAGACAGGTAGTTGTATTATATATTTCTTCCACTTACCAACAGTACGATCTTGGACAATAACTTATTTGAATCTTAAGATTTTTATCTGTGGTGGGGCGCCTGGGTGGCTCAGTCATTAATCGTCTGCCTTCGGCTCAGGTCATGATCCCAGCATCCTGGGATCGAGCCCCACATCAGGCTTCCTGCTCTGAGGGAAGCCTGCTTCTCCCTCTCCTACTCCCCCTGCTTGTGTTCCCTGTCTCACTGTGTCTCTCTCT